TTTTATTTTGTTAAACAAATCATAAGATGTCCAGAAAGGATTTTGCTAAGTTTCTGCTTTTCTCTATTGACAAAAACTGTTTGTGAGAATTCAGACTCTTTTCAATTTATAATGGGGTGAAACGCTCATTGTGAGTTGAGAATATCTGAAGTCAAAAGTACGTGCACTACATTTAATCTCCTGATGATCACCGCTCAGCACACTGTGCGGTACAGCCTGCTCTCATTGTGTCCTTGTGGGAGCAGTGACTGCCACAACATCTCGGGAGAGGATTATACTGCAAACTGCAAGCCTGGGACAGAATGAGATCCAAAATTCAAAGTTCAGGTCCTGTTGAAATGGATGGCTTCCTCAGTACCATGAAGGTGAAAAGCTGTGGTGTGAAATACTGTGAGTCGGAGACCATCTGTGTTACTGTTTGTTGGTGAAGGCGGTTCTCGATTAGAGCCGAAAAGACCTCCTTGCACTCAAGAAGCCCATGAGTGGAACCCATGCTTTACCTGACCCTTGGAATGTGTGGTCAGTAGAGCCAGGTCAAATCAAGGGCACCGCCTTCATCTCCACCGGGGAGGCATCAAGATCCCCTCGGCCAACAGGAAAATCCAGTCCAGTGGTAGGGAGATAGGGAAACTTCCCTATGAGGGAGGCACCAATCAAGACAAGCTTCCCTGTCTTAGCATTTCTTGCTACGGTAAAAATGTGGTTGATAATAATACAAAGCTACCCATGGCATGCTAAGTTATGTTTTTGCCTAGCCTCTCAATTCATGGTTCTTTTGTCTTTAATATTGGTTTTAGTTTAGTTTTTCATTGCTGGTATGTGTCCTATATAAGCAGTCATTAGCCTTTGTTTTACCCATGGCTTCATTTATGACTCATTTTTACTAATTCTATTCAGAAAACACTCAGTCGTGTAAGCAAGAGCCCCACACCAAGCATGTCACCTTCAGGACCGTGCCGTCTAGTCAAACATCTTACATGAGAAACACTTGGGAGTTGTCTTTGCCACCACACATGTGGACACCTTCATACAAAGATTGTTCTTGACTGAGAAAAAGAAAACGGTTGTAGTTGGTGTGTGCACATTTTAGTGACTGGTCTTGCTCTTCTCAGTCACAGAGGAACTTAGTATCATCAAATGACCATGAACTTTCCCATAGAGCAGCCATTCCCCACACCTAGAGATGGAGCGTAGAACTCAGGATGTGGCAGTGGCTCAATGCTAATTGTTAAAGACACAACATGATGTGTGTCTGTCCATATTTAAAAAGCAAGTCCATGTCAGCCTCTTTGTGAGGAACCTACTGTCTCTTCAAGAACAAAGTGCAAAGGGATTCAGAACCCATCAGGCATCTTGGTCAGGCCCCAGTGGGAACTTTGGGCTAGCTGCATACTGGATGTCCATGGGAACCAGCCACCTTTCCAGTTTCAAAGAGAAGGATGGAATAAAGATGACAACATTAAAATGACAAGTTAATGCCTGAAGGAAAAGCCTCATGGCAGAACATTTCAACCCATAAATTCAAATAGCCTAGCCACTTCAGTCCAGTTGAAGGCTTGGGAATTTTGAAGTCCATCCATTAGAAAGTTGGTTTGAGTTGATTTCTTCTACCTATGAATAGCTAAAAGGCCTTGTCTGTTCAGGACTGGGAGGGGTGGGCTGGGGCAGCAAGCATTCTACACTTAGGAAGCCAGTTGGCCAGGTGAGGCATCGAGGTCTTCCGTCATAGGTTTCTTGCTTATCTAGGGCACTGTGCACACCTACCCTGGATTCTCAGCTCAGGGGCTTTTGTAAACAGACCTGGGAGAGTTCAGGCTAGGGTCAGGCCTTCATGCAGGACCTGGCAAAATTTGTGCTTTTGATGTTGGTTTATCTCTCTGTATGGCGTTTCTCTTTGATACTCACCCTGAAGGATGATAAGACATCCCTCCCATCGTCTTTCCTCAGAGCTGGACACAGATGAAAGTGACCTCCCTATCTATACCAACAAGATTGGCAAATCCACTTGACTGGGGTCACCGAGATGCCACATGACCTGGGACCTTCACAGGAATTCTCTGTTGAGTTTCCTTCAAATATATGGATTCATCTTTAGGCAGAAGTGTCTTTCTACTACTCTGGCTCCCATTTACTTTTCAAATCAGCTTTTATAACTGATCTAGAAGCAGGCCCTGGTGTGGTACCCTGCCTCGACTGTGACCAATGTATGCCTGATATTGAAATGTCTACATGTCAAATAAATGTTCCCTGGGTGGGTGGGGGCAGTGTGCAGGTGACCCATTGTAGTATCCCGTGTTTATGCAGTCTAGAACATCATTGAATCCTAGAACATCATCAAATCCTATGCAGCTAATAATCGCTCACATGCAAATGAACAATACAGACAGATTTTCAATAAACCAAATGCACACTGACGTGATCTTACACTCATGGACTCGGGTGGTGAAGATTTAAAAATCAAGACGAAACAAAACCCTGCCTCGTGTTTTAAAACTAGAGTGTGACATTTGGCAGCTGCTCTGAAGTGACTGCTCACAGGCAGTGATGCTGTTTGCTTGCCTTCCTCTGAAGGTTTGTTGGGGGAGGGGTCTGTACTCCAGCAGACAGAAGTAAGCATATTAAGCTACAAGTCCTGGTGAGACAGTTACCCCAAAGATGCTCCCCCTGTGATTTTCAGTCCATGGGAGACTCACTTCCACAGCCACAGAAGCTCAACCTCCTCAGGAGGACACACAGACGGAGCCCAGCCCTGGGTGGACAGAGACAGGAGGGCAGGGAGAACAGTGCCATGGAAGGGTAAAGCATCTCCCTAGGCCAAAATGAATGCTCTGTCCTAGCCCAGGCTGTCTGACATGTGAGCTTCTGTGTCTACCTCCACCTGGTAGAGGATTTCAAAGATTGTCATAGAACCTTCCTTAGTGTTCTGCTGAACTGACCAACAGGGAGGGGTGGGTGTGGCTGCGCTCAACCCACCTAACGAAGAATGACGCAGCTTCACTCAGTTCTGATTACAGAGGGAGAGCATAACCTTCAATTTAAATGAGGATTCCTATTATTAGAGTGTGTGTGTGTGTGTGTGTGTGTGCGCGCGCGCGCGTGCACATGCTTGCTATAGTGTGTGTGTGGAGGTCAGAGGACAACTTTTAGGAGTCAGTTCTCTCCTTCCCCAATGTGGGATTGAATGCCTGTCATCAGGTCTGGCAGCAAGTACCTGCTGAACCCTCTTGATAATTCTAAATAAGGTTTCTAATGCTTATATTTATCAAAAGAAGTCAATACTAAATAGTGACCCCTTGCCAACTGTGGAGGTTTTATTCCCAACTGTAATAACTACATGAGGCAAATCCAGGGTGACCAGAGATGAAACAGTATCAGATACACCAAAGCAAACAGCAGAATCAGTTTTCGAGCTATGCTGTCCACGGAGACTTTTGATGACAAGGATATTCTGTCTGACTGAGACCCACCAGCCCTGCTGGCAACAGAGAACCTGAAATGTAGCCATAATTTTTAAGTTAGTTTAATTTCAGCCAATTATGATTTAAACTTGGGTAGACCTGAATGTCCAGTGCATTTTGTACCAGACGATTCAGTTCCAGAGGACACAGCCTCCTCAAATGAACTTACTCTTGTGGTAGCTCCTTCCATGTCTCTCTGGAACAATGTGATGCATGGAAATTCTAAACAATTTTTTTAAAACATTCATTTTTGTGTGTGTGTGTGGGGGGTGATACTTTATTTGTGCTGAAATGTGATATTTTATTTGTATGTTAATAAAGTTGCCTGAAGATCAAAGGTTAAATAGCCATAAAACAGAAGTCAGGCAATGGTAGCACACGCCCTTAATCTGATCACATGGCAGGCAGAGTCTCTGTGTGGTCAAGGACACAGCCAAACATGGTGACACGAGCCTTTAATCCCAGTACCAACCATAGAGACCTGGAGGTCTATATAGACAGGCAGTGACGAGGAAGTCATGTGGCTGGGCTCAAAGCCAATGAGAAGGCAGAACAGGAAGGCAATAAAAACACTGGTTAGATGGGAAGAAGCTCTCTCTGTGGAAGCTACTGCTGGTGGTAAGCCAAAGGTAGTTGTGGCTATTGCTCTGATCTCTTTGGCTATTAACTCTGTATTTGGCTCTGTGTTTCTTATTTACTAAGACTGTTTAGAAATTCCTCTACGTTCGTCTACGTGTGTGTGTGTGTGTGTGTGTGTGTGTGTGTGTGTGTGTGTGTGTGTGTGTGTATGTGGTGTACACATGTATGTGCATGTGCCATAGTGTATACGTAGAGGTCAAATGTCAGCTTTTGGGAAGTGGTTCTCTATTTCCACCATGTGGGCTCTGGGGATTGAACTCAGGTCATTTTTAAGCTTTGTGGCAAGGGCCTTTACCACCTGAGCCATCTCTCTGACCCTAAAATTCTGTTTTTAAATTTAATTTTGCATTTGCAGTTATCTCTGGATTTGCTTCCTGAATAGTGTGTCTCTTTCATGCTTTCTAAATGGCATGTTCCTGCAGACCAGGTTCTATCTACCCAGGAAGGCACGTGCAGACTTCCACCTTATCCTATGGGCTGTTCTGTGAGACAGAGACTTACAACCATGGTTCTGTTCTCTTATTGGGTCAAACTGAATTAACATGTTTCTATGCAAAGCAACTCGTAGGAACGAAAATGGAAGCTTTTCAGCCCAGATGTGCTCAGTTCACGGTCCCCTGCTTACATTACTTTTGGTGATGCTGGTGAGTGAATGCCCACAAAGGTCACTCTGTAGGTCATTTGCCTGCCTATTCTTCCTCATTCTCTCCCATAGATGCACTCAGTACCTCACTGAATGTCACAGGCTTATGCCCTCTATGACAGGAGACCGGCAAACCACTCTTGCTTCTGGAAACATCAGCCAAGAAGAGTCAGCATCTTAGTGTGACACACAAAAGTCAGGCTACCATTAGCACTGGGGCAAAGGAGATGAAATATCCAGCCCTTGGGCCCAGTACTCACCTGTCCCCCGGGAGTGGCTGAAGTCACCCTTCACCACACGGCAGGTCTTGCCATCCCCGCTACAGACACCACATCTGTCTTCTTTGGCCGCAGACCCGATGATGCCATCACAGCCAATTTTCTAGAAAACCAAAGAGCTGGGTTCATCTGTGTTTTCAGATTCAGTAATATTTTGAAGCAGACGCCCTGCAGGATTTGTGGGACTGATTTCGCTGAGAGGCATGGTGCCTGGGGGTTCAGACACACTTTAATTATCATTAAATTCAAAAGAGAAAACAACAGCCACCACCACCACCAGAATTAAGATCAGAAGTCTGTCTTTTTATGTTTTTACAAATTTATCAAATGTGTTTAAAAACATGCATTGTGGAATAAAGGAGCCCTGCTACCCTAAAGCACCTATAGAAATATCATCTGCATCTCTCCAAGAAGCGGGAACTACTTGACTCTACCTTGTTAGAGCAGAAATGTTGGGGTAGTGATGCAGGTAGCTGGAGGGGGCATGGTCACACCACGCTGCTACCTTACTTCTTACTCTGTGAAGTCGTTCAGTGGAAACTGACAAGGGCTGAGAGATGGAGCATCCCAGATCATGGAGTTTGCTCAGAGCAAAACGCTGGCTCAGCTAATTTCCCATTGCTAAAATGTGTGTGAGGTTCTGCATCCCACGTCTGAGTCTCACCGTTACTCTATCCAGGCTGTTGGTGGCTCAGTCACAAGCCAGCACCAGGACTGGCCCCTCACCCCAGCCTTTTCGTATTGCCTGGACCTGCTTCCTTTTGGCTTTCCCACATGCTCCTGGCTCTAGGGCTTTCTTCCATTGGTTTTCTGTGATTTCTAAACCACTCCCACGATGTCCCAGCAAGTCTCTGGCTTTACTGCTGGCTGCTGGCCTTGCAATTCAGTTAGGGCTTCATGGTTATTAAGCAGCCCCGGATGTTGTATGTAAACACCCCATGTGGTCACCATAGCTTCTCCCAATGGCAGTGAGTTTCGCAGGCTGGGGCAGGCCTCTACGTTCTGCCCATGCTGCCTGGTGCTATGGCCGTCGCCTCTTGCATTTGGAAGCCAGGCCTGCCAGGAGATCCACGTCAGAACATCAGCGAATCTGAGGCCAGAAGGGCAACCGCCAAGGCAGTTGGCCAACAGGGCACTTTCTCTCTTTGCTCAGGTCAGGGAAAGGAGTCTATACTATGTTGGGCAGGGACAGACACTTTTCTTTTGAAATGGAAGACAATTAAAGTCATGACTTCTGAGTGTCAGTGGGGCTTTAACAACTGCATTTAGGAGCCTCAGTGTTCCAAGAGAGCAAGATGACTGAACCCAAGGAAACAGTAAGTGCTCCCCAGCCTTCCCACAGCATCCCGATGATCCTGAGCTGTCTTTCCATTAACTAATCTTCAGGAGACCTACTTCTGAGCTCTCCAATTCCTGGCCAACACGTGCTGGCCAGGGTGCTGCTCTGCTGGAGAAGTTAGGGTGTGTGACACCTAAGGCCAGGAGTTCCTCATGGCATAGTTGAAAATGCAAGATGGCACGGGACTGGCAAGCCAGGCCCAGATTCTCTTTGGTCAAGACAGTTCCTGTGACGCATGCAGATTGAAGCCAGAGGAGAGCTAGTTCGGAGCCATGTGCGGGAGTGGGCCATGGCAGGTCATGTGGAGAGGCCACAGTTTGCCCAGGAATACTAAGTATTGGTCTCTACTGATTCCATGCCTAGACGTTTTTGCCCTGTCACCCACAGCAAAAAGCCTCCTGTCACCACACCTGATGGCCAAGGTGTCACCTCCTCTTCTGTATTTGCCACACTGTGCCACCCACACTATCTCCAGTTTGTATGTACTTGTCTCTCTGTCTTCACTGGGAACTGGTTCTAGAACCCTTCAAAACATGGGAAGATCCAGAGATGCTTAACTTCCTTACAGGAAATGACGTAGCGTTTACACAGGGCTTGTACACATTCTCTTGTATGATTTCAATTGTCTCTGGGGTGGAGGGGTACGTACAATAATGAATATAATGTAAGTGCTATGTAAATAGTTTTTATATTTTTATAACTAAAATATAATAAATTGATATTTATTAATGATGACAAGAAAAAAGCTTGCATATGTTCAGGAAAAAATGTGACTTTTTCTGAAATACTTTGCAGCTAAAGTTAGTTAAATCTATAGATTTATGGGATCTGTAACATGGAGGGCTGGCTGAACCCTTCATCCAAGGCAGTCATTGAACACCTACTCTGTCTAACCTGAGGGTGAAGACATGAAAGAAAGCAGAGAAGCTATGTGGAAACAAGCAGACACATCAGAGCGTATGACGACTCCTGCCTGCTTCTCCTCCAGCTCCTGTGACTCTGGGTCTCTCCTTCCTTTCCCGGCTGCTGGGAGTGGTCAACTGAGTACATGTCAACCTTCTACTTCTCTTTGGCTTTCTTAGTAATTCACCTTCTCCACAGACGTCAACAACCAAATGTCTTCAACCCAATTCTTCCTCTACTCTCCAGACACATATAGTCCCAGGTCTGCTTGTGTGACCTTCCCGGAATTCTAGACAGTTTTGGATTCAGTGAGTCATTTCATCTCCAAAGCTGCTCCAGGCCGACTTGTACATTTTAGTCAGACACTACCTGTATGTCGTGACAATGGTAAACACGTCACCCTAGCCTGAAACCTCTAAGCCACTCGATTCTACCCAGTTGTCTGCCTAGCGTGGCATTTTTGTCTTCTGATAATACCCAGGGTCCTATGCTCAGCGCCACTCTTGGTTCAGAACCTTCTCGCTCGGGATATACATGAACCATCACACTGTTGGTTTGTCCCTCGGTGCTACTGATCTCCTCCTGAGGATACTCAGTGAGGAGACCCACGACTATGGAATTCTACTGCCTAGCGTATCCACTCAACGCTTAGCATCTCAGCTTCTCTTCCCTGACGGCTAATGACTGTCACCTTGATTAGCCTGAGAAGTGCCTAGGAGACTAGTAAATCAAGCCTATGGGCTTACCTTTGGGGGTGTTTCCAGGGAGGGTTAACTAAGGGAGGAGACCCAATGCATCCCAAGGTGGAGGGTCCAGGTAGGATAAAAGAGGAAAAAAGAAAACAGTCTGGCCCAGACATTCTCTCTAGACATTGGTGTGAACTGGTGTGAACTGGTGTGAACTGCTCTGCTCTGCCAAGCTTTGTCCGCCATGGAGGACTGAAGCCTTGGGAACTGAGCTAAAGTAAATATTCCCCCACCGTGGGGTAGATTTTTTTTCAGATATTTGGTCACAGCACTGCTAGAGTTGAACACATCTTCCTTCTCCAAATCCACCCTGAATCTCATCACCTCCAGTCTGCCTTGCAAGCCCTGCAGCTCCTCTCAGCAAGGTGAGCGTCTGTAACAGTCTACTCAGACCTCACCACAACGAACGTCAGGGACCAAGACTGCTTCGCTCCTCTCCTTCAATGCTCCATCACACTTGGAGCAAACCCAAATTCTCCCTGGGTCCGATTCCTCTGCGTTAGGCCTGTCTTCCACATTCCACTACCCTGTGTTTGCTTGCCTAGACTGAGGCAGCTTTGCTCTTGCCCCCTTCTGCTGGGAGATCTCTGCCCTTAGCTCTCCCAGAGTTCTCCAAAACCATCATCTCCAGAGGCCTGTCTCATCACCCTGCTCAGTCCTTCTTGGCCTTCTCGGTCACACCATCATCACTGCCTTTTCTAGGACAGTATTTTATTTTCTCCTTCACATACATCAGCGGTTTATGGATTTTGGTTGTTTTTCTTCGGGACTATTTTGGGATTTAAAATAAATATTTTTGTTAATTCTCTAGGTATTTCATACCACACATTTTGTTCATACTCACCCCTCACTTCCTCCAGATCCACTCCTACATACCTACTCCCTCCCCACTTCCCATCCCTTTTCTTTCCCTTAAAATAATATCCTACGGAGTCAAATTTTTGCTGTCTATATACTCATTGGGGTGGTGCCATCCATTGGAACATGGTCACATTCTTAGAGAAAAGTGATTCTCCACCCCCCAGATCCATCGACGGTCACTAGCTCCTCAGTTAGGTGTGGGAGCCTCATGAATCCCTCCTACCTCCATGCTATAATGGCTTGATCTTATGCCAGTCTTGTACGGACAACCACAGCTGCTCGAGCTTGAGTGTAGTGGTCCTGTCTTGTCCAGAAGACACTGTCTTTCAACAATTGTCCCCAATATTTGACTCTTACAGTCTCTCTGCAATACTTCCTGAGCCTTCATGGGGTGATACAGACATCCCATTTGTGGCGAAGAACTCTACAGACACTTACTCTGACCTTTGATTAGATGTGAGTTTCTGTGTTAACCACATCCCACTGCTCAAAGAACAGTCTCTGGTGAGAACTAAGCACCACACTAATCTATGGACACAGAGACATGAATTTGGGAGGCAGTTTGATACTCTGTTCATTTAGCCAAATAAAAGTAGCAGGTCCATCCCTGAGACTTGTGAGTTTCCTAGCCACAGATTTTTGGCCAGATTTATAGTACCAGGTATGCGTTTCCTCCCGTGGAGTAGGTCTTAAATCCAACCAGAAAGTGGTTGGTTATTCCCACAGTATTCATGCCACTGCTGTACCTATGGGCCTGTCTTCCCATGCTGGTCATTATTGTAGTACACAGTATCTGGACAAGGATCTGAGAGATCCACTGTCACAGTACATGGAACATTCTCAGACTGAAAAGCCTGAGATTAAATACAGTTGCATGGTTGTGCCCATTGGCACAGACCACTGGGAGCTGAAATGATGTTCAGCATGAACTCAGGCCTCATTGGCTGGAGAATCGCAGGATTCTTAGAAGTACATTCTTGCTGGCAAGAATACCAAAGCAGATGCCTGTGAGAGGCTGGGGTGGCTCAGCTGGCACTGCCCCGAAGGGTATAAGAGCTTTGACTTGTAAAACTGCTAGCAGAAGAATGACATCATTGGTTTGCAATGTGCCAACTTGCAGGATGATCCAGGCAAGCATGTAATTTAGGAAGGAAACAAACCCTGCATTTGGCCTGCTAGCAGGCTTCCTGAGAACTGTCAGCATTGCCTTGTTTCAGTAATAACGATAAGGGCTTTCTTCATGCTGTCTAAGAACAGGGCCTGGAACATTCTTTGCTACATGAAAGTATCCCCAAAGGTCCTGCTCAAGCACTCCTTGGTGCCCTTTTCCCTGGGAGGTGTCCTTGCCAAAACCCGTGGGCACTCAGCATATTTCTGTTTGATAACAAAGCCAGGCAATGCCAGAGGAGCTGGGGCCTTGTTAAATGTGTCCTTGGAGAATTAACCAGTCTGTGACTGGCTCAGGCTGTGCAGGGAGAAAACCCACTTAGGTTGAAACTGTTTGCTGCGGAGCCAGCCGAGACACTGACCTGTGTCTTCCTCTCACAGCTACGGATGGGTTCACTTGACAGGGATACAGTGAAGCACAGGCTGACAGTGGCTGAGGAAGGAGGCCCCCAGGGGATAGGGGACTGAAAACTCACATTCTCCCAATTCCCATCACCCCCAAGGTGGGTGATATTTTTAGGAACTGGACCTTTTCCCAAAGGGAAAGTGCGATTAGGTCCTGGTGGCAGGACCCTCACGGACAGGACTAGTATCTTCCGAAAAGAGGTCTCAGAGGGCAGCTTCATCCCCTCCATCCTGTGAGGGTGGAGCAAGAAGAAATCACTCATGAGAAGCGTGCCCTCACCAGAAGCCAAATATGGCCCATGCCGAGGCTCTGGACTCCTCGGCCTCCAGGACTGTGGGAGATGATTCCACGGCTGATACATCAACCTACGCCCTGTACCACCACAGAGCAAGTAGAGTTAGTCACCAGGACGAGCACACGCTCAGGGTGAGCTGAGTCATCAGGAGATGACCTCTGAAGGCAGAGGTGGCTTCACCTGAGCTGTATCCCACTGGCCAGTGAAATGTCCGCGCGTCTCCATCCTCCCTTCTAGATACCACCCCAGGAGCCGCTCCTTCAGATGGACAGAGAGGGACAAGAGGCCCACAAAGCACTTCTTTCTCCCTTCCCCCTTGCTCTGGCTGTTGGTCAATCTCATGAGTTGGGGGAATCTATATCCCAGAGGGTGGAGGGATCCCCAGAGGCCAGGCACATCCATCCACCTGCCTGGACACTGTCTGCACCGGTGTTGGCTTCGACCCACTGAGTGTTCGTAAGTAAATAGAGCATGCTGTTGGTTCATCCTCCAGACCAATCTCATGTTCTCATACTCACCGGCTCTTTGCATGAATCACAATGTCTAGAGGAATTTTCAAATAGTTTCAGGAGCCTGCTGGTTAAGCCTGCCATGGGCACGATGCTCAGTCACTGCTGAGGGCAGGGCATACGCTGGTGGCCACTGGCCACAGGGGGCAACATGGTCCTCTTTGGGAAAACTTACTTCCCCTGACCCTCAAAGGCCTCAGCTCCACCACAGGCCCAGTTTAGGGGAAGAGAGAACCCTTTGTCACAGCCCCACCAAGGACAGTAGGAAAGGCAAGTCACCTGGCATCTGCCATACACGCAGAGGTCAGTCTCATAGGGTCCGCAGGGCGTGCCATCCAGGACCCTGTCAGCCACCAGCAGCGGGGACTCCTTTCCAAGGGGTGAGCAGTAGAGTTCACACGGCTTATCTGAGGAGGGAAAGGTTGTGGCTGTTGATTGGGAAAGGGGTATGTAGGCAATGTGGGGAAGAAGCACATGTGGGCCGTGAGCCCAAGGGCAGAATGATTAGTGCACAAAGGTCTCGGTCACTTAGCCCTGTTCTCAGGTACAATCACCTGATCCTGTGGACATTTAAAATAGCACACAGAACAAGACCCCCTGACTCAGTAAGTGGCAGAGCGGGCAGCTCTCTGAGTTTCCTCCTCTTGGCTCCCCTCATTTGCAGAGACAGGGCATTACCTTTTCGTTCAGCCATTAAACACATCAGCTGCACAAAGGTACCGTTGTGAGCTAGCCCGCCTCTGCATAAGTGACTGTGTGTTAAATTTGAGGCTGGGACCTGTTGCCATAGTGGGAAAATAAGGGGGGGGGGGTGAACAAAAATGCCCCAGGCAGGGGAACCAGGCACTGTAGGTGCTGTGACAGTGGTTCCCCTAAGATCGTTAGTGTGTTTCAACTGGAAAAGTCTTAGTGCCCTGCTCCCCATTGGCCCAGCTGCTAGGGAGGAATGGTAGAGCTGTGATACAAGGCCTGAAGGTCCTGGAAGAGACTGAACAAAGGTCTAGAAAGGGGACTCAGAGACCACGAGGACACCTCACGAGAGCCATGCCAGCAGCTAGATGAAAGTCCCTGTTCCCTCTGCTTCTAGAACAACATGAATTTATGGAACACACTACGCTCTTCTGCCTCCATCTATGCTGTTCCCTCTGCCCGTGAATCCCTCATTCCACTCAGCTCTGGAGGAGGCTGCTGTCAATGTAGAAGCTTCCAATCCAGAGCTTTCTCTTCTGCTACCCCGACACAAGGTAGGACAGGCATCTCAATGTGTGCACTTGGCATTTATATCCACTCAAGCCCAGGTCATTGGCTTGGTGTCCTAGAATTGTTTGAGCAAATCCTAGATAGAAAGGGATTTCTTACAGGCAGGTTCCATTGATAATGGAATACTAAAGACTCCATGGTCCAAAAGACTTCAAATTCCAAAGCCTTCTGAACTCTCACATGACATTACAAACAGAAAATTCCACACCTGCCCTCATGTGACAGGGGCAGATAAAATACAGGTGCACTAAAAACTGTAAGATTATGTTTGCACTATGTGTATAACATGAACATAAGCCATAAGTAAAATCCATGTTTCGATTTGTGTTCCATCACAAACACAGCTCATTGTGCATATGCAAACATTGCCAAATCCAAAATAGTCCCGGTTTGATAGAAGTTGCAAATATTTTGGAGGAAAGGCTTTCAATCTACACCTTCACACTGAAGTACAGGAACCCTTGGGGACATGGGGCATGCTTTCATCTTCTGTCCCCAGACCAGAACTAGAACTGTCCATAGGACTTAGTAAATGTACTTGAACAAATGACTGGATCTTGTCTCTGTAAATGGTTGAGTAAGAGTAACACACCTCCTTGCCCCCTCTGCCACCTAGCCCTAATCATTACGTTTATGGAGTTGTTTTGAAAGGAAACCCTGAGAGAGTCACAGAGACCTTCTGCTACCTTACTGAACCCTGTCTCCACCAGCAGCCTTCCCCGGTGATCTCTGGCAAGTAAGGGAGGGGCTCAGAAGAGTTTTGTAGCTGATGTGGCCTTGAGGGGCCTTGGCATCCCAACAGGAGAGGACTTGTCAGAGCAGACATGCCGTCTTACCCAGTCTCAAGGGTTTGCATGATTCCATGGCAGCCCATGATCAACCAGCTCTGTGGGAGGTCACCTGAGAGCATGAGAAGCAGGTTCCCAGGATTCAAGTTCAACTCAGCTCTTCTATCTAGTCAGAAGTGAAACAATGGACTCTGAGGAGCACACTGGAAGTCTACTGTTTCCTAGGCAAGCTGTTTATTCCTCAAGCACAGCTGGAGCACTGTACCCCAAGCATTCCACAGACAGTGCTAAAAATGGGCAACAGGTAACACACGCTTCTCAAGGCCCTAGTGGTCCAATGGACAGGTGTGGAGTAACCCTTGATCGATTGAGACAAGTCACATGACACAGTCAAATGTGAGCACGTGGAGTGCCTGCTTTAGAAGGAATGTCTCATTTCCAGGTGGGCGGCTGGAAGTAGCTATCCCTCCATTTAGAGGAAGTGACTCAAGAAAGCAGTCAGTGATAGAAGAACTATGAAAGACAGAGATGGAGACTGAGGACAACTTCTAGGAAGCTTATTGGATGGGATTAATGAGAGGTGGTCAGGGGTTTGAGGTTCCCTGTGGGCGCCTTCGGGGCACAACACAGCTCTGCAGTCTGGATGGATAGTGTGTCTACTGCACACCAGAGGTATGTTCTATGCCATCTCTCTAATGTCTTATTATGAAGAAATAGTTTGAAACTATGGGTCTTGATTCCCTTTGGACTAACATACTGGTTCAACACTGGGGATAACCTAGGTTTAAGGCTATTCATTTGAAAGCAGTAATGATAACGATGATGATGTGATAAAGAAGAAATCATAGGCATTTACCATATTCTGCATGCCAAACAACATGCTAAGTAGTGTCGACAGCACTCAGTGTAGTGAATGTTGCCACTGTCCCACTGTACAGATGAGCGTGGGGCTCACAGAATACCTACATTTACTCCGGCAGGAACAGCCATATGCTTCTCTGCTCCATCTTGCTGTTCTTTCAACCATCACTGTTTACTCTGAATGAGGAGCCCTCGGGAGCCCCAAATACCAAGGGATAAAATGGTACTGCTGAAAACAAACCACAGTGTTCATAAATATTTATGGCTTGGGTTTCTAAGTGTGTTCTCTGATTTGAACAGAAATGGGAACGGGACTTGGGCAGAACGGCAGAAGCTGTTCAGAGGGAAGTTGGAGTCTGTGGAAAGTTCCAGCATGGAAAGGGATAAAGATTGTTTGTTTTGGTTCTTTGGTGAAAATTTCAGAGGAGCAGAGACTCTGAATCAGGGGAAGAAACTCAGATGGACAGATGTTGGCTTATGATCTCAGGCAAGGCATTCTACTGAGCTCTGCCTGCCCTTGACTCTGCCCTTGACAAGCAGTGCAGACGCTGCTCGCCAGGCTCAGGCAGCCAAGGACACCAGGGCTCTAGCACTAAGGTCGGAGGTGAGAGTCCTTCATTGGCTAGAACTGCCTGCATTTGTCATCTTTTCCCCCTCCCTGAGGATTCCACTCACAATGTAAGGTGCCCCTACCTCTAGCAAGGAATAGTTCTTTCTCCCAAAGGGATTGAGGATAGTCTATTTTAAATCATGCAAAAGGGGCTCAAAATTTCTCCGCACTCTCTGAATAGGCTCCTGTGAGTGGGAAGTTAAATCTCCAATATAAAAAAGATCCCACTAAATAACGTGAGGTGGTGGGGATTTTTTTTTGAGACAGGGTCTTACTATGTAGCTCTGACTCTCCTGGAACTCACTCTGTAGACCAGGCTGGGGTCGACCTCACAGAGATCCACCTGCCTCTGTCTCCAGAGTGCTGAGATAAAAGGCGTGCACCACTATGCCCTCTGGGAGTATAGAAGGGGATGAAACCCTTAGAAGTTGCACAGCCACACAGAGCAAGGAAAGATGCCGAGAACACGTCTCCTGCATGGATGGTGTTTACTTAGATGAATTCTGGCTGAGGATGGTGTGCAGTTAGATGAATTCTGGCTGAGGATGGTGTGCAGTTAGATGAATTCTGCCTGAGGATGGTGTGCAGTTAGAGGAATTCTGGCTGAGGATGGTGTGCAGTTAGAGGAATTCTGGCTGAGGATGGTGTGCAGTTAGAGGAATTCTGGCTGAGGATGGTGTGCAGTTAGAGGAATTCTGCCTGAGGCTTCTGCCTGGCTTCTCAAAGGCCTGCCTGTTGATAAGGGCTTCTGACTGACCAGAGGAAGCCACAGCCAGGGCAAGATGGGCTCTGAGGCTTGAGAGCTGATGATTATGTCAGCTTACAGTGGGCTGGAATTCATCCTGCGCTCCACAGGGAACATGGGACACCGTGCCTCACACTGTTCTTACTGCTCTCTCTTGGACTCGTTACAAAGTCTTACTTACTGAGGCAGAGTCTACCTAACATAGAGGCCAGAATTGTCAGACCTTCTTGTCTTCTGTCTTAGCTACTCAATCTTCTCTTCCACAAGCCATCCACCAGGACTTCATAACCAGGTCCCAGGTCCCAGGATCTAGCTGATTGGGACAGTAGAGTCCACCTGACCATAAACAGACCAAGCAGAGTCACCATGACCTAGAAGCCAGATCCTACAGACAGGTCTCAGTAAACTGGAACAGCACTTACCACGTGACCACAGCCAGAATGACCAGTCTTTGTCCTGATAACTCAACATGTGAAAAGCACTGAAAATGAGTGTTTTCTACTCTGTGCGGCAAACTCTCTAGTTACAAAGTCAGCCTTCCCTGGCAGGAGTGAGTACCTGCCTCATTAGGGGCTCCCGGCCGGCTGTCATGTGCCCCTTTGGGTCCCAGTGGAGGTGTTATTATGGGACTGCTGAGCCATCATGGCCTTTCAAACACTACAAAGCTCTGAATTCTGAGCCATAACTGATCTGGAAGGATTCAGAGATGGAATACAGATTCACTTAAGAGGAGCTGTGGGTTTCCCTGGTTGGCTGTACATGGAGAAGTTTCGAGAAAGGCAGCCTTCAGCAGAGGCAAGATTCCCATTGGTAAGTTTTGGAAGCCACAGAAGGTCCTAATATCTTTAAATTTTTTGGTTCCAGCCCTTCATTGGGTCCTTCAAGAACACCATACGCCTTTGTCACAGTCAGCCTCCACTTCTGGGCTCCTTGGTTGAGTAGGAGTCTCAGCTCTGACCCTCACATCCCTTATTCCCTCAGACAGGAGCTGGGGTGGGTGGGTCTGTTGTGTGAGGCAAGGGAGCTGGGCAAAGGCTACTTTGTCCAGACATAGCTTTCTAACAGTTTAGTGGGCATGGAGCCTGCTGTTGGCCTGGTCACACGGGCCTGAACCCTTGAATGTTTCTACTGTGACAAAATCCCACAGGAAAAGCAGCAACAGTCTGGATTTGGCAGGCGGCCACTGCAGAGGGTTTCTGTCTAAAGGCTTCTCCTCTTTGGGGTCTTTTCTAAGGACAGCCTTTATCTTCCTTTGGAGGTGGGATGGACTTGTGGTCCTGAGTCCTCCTTCGGAAAGACTACCTCTGCAAGAATTCTTTCTAAAAGAGGAGAGAGAGAGAGAAAAAAAAAGAGAGAAAATACTGCTCCCCTTTCCTGAACCGTGTGTCACTCACCCCCAAAGAATTCTGCAGCGATGGCAGTGCTGTGAATAGGCCAGTTATAATGGACTGCTGGAGCCAGAGCCCAACCGCAGGGATCGCTCCTCTCACGGCTCAGCTAGAATTATTGTGCCTTTTAGAAAGCAGGGCTTCAGAACTGTGCCTTTTAGAAAGCAGGGCTTCAGAGGAACCCTTATCTTCAGCTATCTGAATCAGCCATTTATTATTTCGCTCTTGCCCTTCTGAAACGCTATAAAAAAAATGCTGGCTTCTGGTATACTGAGGGAAGTGGAACCACATACTTAAGAAGTCATGGCAATTTCACACCAGAGGACGATGGGTCAAACTACCCTCACAAAGTCCTGAACCCAAGGCCTCTCCTTCAAAGGCTAAACACTACCAGTCTGTAAGCTATGCTTATCAAATATGGCTGGCCTTTTCAGGTCAAAGGTAACACCCACCAGATCTAATTATTTGTTACATGGGCAGGATGGAACAAGAGGCAAATGGGTGAGAAAATGCATTCTAGACCCATCGAAGTCCTCAAGGAGCCTCCCCACGAGGGCAGTCTGGGCAGACAGAAGATTTCACTGCTACAATGATAAGGGAACTGAAGCACTCAGCTATTCCAAAGCTGTTAGCAGTGAATAGAAGTTTAAGATGGAGTTGCTCAAGTGAGGCTTCCGCCCTAAATACGTGAAGCAAAAGGGGTTAAAAACGAAGCAGTCAAGCAACAAATAACCCCCCCTCCCCCACTCCCCTCACCCCCGGCCACACAGAGCTGAGCGGACCTGGAGAAGGCGCAGGGTGTCCCATCGCTAACGCCTGCTGGCTCTAGGGAAGGAGGAGAGGACAGAGAGGCATCAAGTCATTTTTACCTGGCTTTCTGGAGACAACGAAGCCTTGGTGACAGGGTGGATCTCACCAGAGTGAGCTGCTGCCCTGGACTGTGACAGCTCTCTGGTCATGTCTCTGTCCCAGTCAGGGGTCTGACTATGCCTGAGATAGGTGGAAGCCTGCAGGCTGTTCATGCACCACATTAAGGACCAGACAGGGAGAAGTAAGGGTACTCCAACAGTACCCTCTTATTTGGGAGAGGGAAGTCTCCTGTCTCCTTTCTCATCAGGGAAAGTTGGGTTTGAGAAAGCCAAGATCCTCTCATATTCTGCTGGTTAAGTGGCAGCATAGCCATAATTAACCAGCCCCCAGAGTTGATGTCTTTTTAAATACAAGGAAAATGTCCGGAGAATGAACTTTCTATTACCTTAAAAGTCCCCAGCTAAGCAGGTACCACTGAAAACACTGTGTGCTATTTTTTTTAAGACAAAACTGAGCAGTCAGCTTGTTGGGCTAAAAGATGCAGATCTGAGTCAGGTGGTGGGTGGTGGCTCACGCCTTTATTCTTAGCACTTGGGAGGCAGAGGCAGGCGGATCTTTGTAGTTCAAAACCATCTTGGTCTAGAGAGGGAATTCCAAAATATCCAGGGCTACACAGAGAAACCCTGTCTTGAAAAAAAAAAAACAAATAAATAGATAAATAAAAATTAATTCATTATTTAAAATAAAAAAGAAAGAAGGAAAGGAGGAAGAAAGGAAGGAAGGAAGGAAAGAAAAGAACAAACAAAAAAAAAAAAAAAGGAAAAAACTGTAGACCGGAAAGGAAAAAGCTGCAGACCAGAAACTGCTGTTGCCAGGGATATCTGGGTTTCTCTAGAAACAGCTAGGAACATTTGAACTTGTAATTGCAGGTGACAAAATGGACATTTCAGGGGAAGAAAACCAAGATGGTACTAGACTTCATTCTTCTGTAAAACATCTGGAGGTTACAGAAATCAGACCCCGCTGCATTAGTTCTAAGCGTCCCTCGTTGCATCTGAACACTGAGAGCCAGTGGGTTATTCTCTGAGTCAACTTTGTCAGCTGCAGGAGCTCGGATGTCACATAACCTGTCACCTCTTTTGCTTACTCCAAGAGACCATGAATGGAGCTAACTTGTGCCTGGCTTGGGGTGTGACTGATAAATGGTACCATACTGTCAGCATTACAATACAAAGTCACGTTTCTCAAAGAGAAGCATGTTAGGTAAAACAGCAACAGCAACAACAGCAAAAACCCCCACACTCTGGACTAGGCTTCGGGGTGTCCTCACCTCCAATGACCAGACATTACAGACTCTACGGAGACATGACCCGACACCTCGACTTGTTTCTTGGTTACTCTGGCCGTGTATGGCATACACTCTCCTGATGGGGAAGAAAGTCCTTGGAAAGTGACCTGTGTTGGTCACCTGCTTCCATACACAGTTCTCAAAAGTCTTCCAAGCACTCTAGGCAGAGAGTAAAGCCAACCCAAAATGAACCCAGGAAAGCAAAATGGTACGCACTCAAACATACCATTCTACTCTTGGTACCTCAGAACACAGCGCACTGGAAATCAGATGCTAGCGCACTGCACTTGCCCTGCTGTGAATGAATCTAGCCTCCTGTCTGCCTTTATGGCCTGTGTGGGGAGATCTCAAGTTGTTAGTATTCAGTTCTACTATTGTAGGAGTAGGGCCATGACTAACTTGGGCCGGGGACAGGTGTGTTCTCGGATGGGATGGGATGGGGGTTGAGGATTATGAGCACCCCTAAGTAGGTTTTACAGTTCTCGAGAAAAGGAGGAGGGAGGCTACGTTGAAAGGAAGGGCCTTTACCATCAACCACCACCGCTGTCAACAGGCCCCTCTTCTTGCTACTCAGTCGGTCATGGGCTTGGCACTGCTGGTCCCGGAAGCTGGGCACACCCTTGGGGCAGGGCAGGTTCTCACAGGCGGCGTGCTCTACGCTGGCCCCCTGGCAGTGTGTGCCTCCAGGCCCAGGGCTAGAAGGAAGAAGATTTGTGTTAGCCAGCTGGTCTGGTGGAAACAGCAGAGGGTATTGGACTGTTGCCAGGAGAGGGTGGGCAAGGTTTCCAGAGCAACTGGGTCTCTCCTATAAACCACATCTGGGTAACCCCAGTCCCACATTGAGGCATGCTCAAGTGAGCCAGCAGAAAAATGCACCAAAGGGCTGTAAATAAAGGTCATAGGGAAGCAGGACACAATGAGTGTCTGTTTGGCAAGATCCACAAGTCGTCTCTTCTAGATGAATTGAAGACTTGGTCATGTGTAACCTTGAACACCCCAAAGAAAATTTTGGTACTTAAAAAATTTTTTTTCATTAAAATGAAGACATTAAAAAAAACAACAATAGTTCTTTGATATGTTCTAGAAGTTGCCAAGTTTTAGGAAGGATGAGTAAAGAGTTCTCATTTACTTTGTAATAAGTGGGGTGATTAGTTCACTCACACACAACCAGTTTCTGGACATTGGCCAGTTAAGTCCCAGCTCTGCCACCTTAATCAGGGCAAGTATGAGGTCATTCCTGTGGCCTGGATTCCTAGGTGTCATGTCTAGACTGACTGGGTGGTGAGCAGTTCTAGAGAATGGGCTGTGTTCACTGGTAGAGACCACATATCTAAGGTGCATCAAGATAGAATGGCAGGATACAGGCTGGGCTAGCCACAACAAGGCTTTGCTTAGCTGCTCTGAGGGGCCCCAAGGTGTCCTTGAGAGACTCTGACCTAGACAAGTTCAAGGCTTCCATACATCTCCATGGTACCAAGGTCATAGTGATATAGTGTGATTAATTACTTTATATTGAAATTCAGCATAAAAGACAAAACTGCACACTGTGGGTATTTACACACTCACATGCCTGTTACCTACATTTTGTACTCACCAACCAAGTATGGGGGGGTCTTATGTCCCTCCCTCTGCCATTCATCATGCCTGTGGGCTACCCTCTGAGCATGATTTTAGAGGAAAGATAAAAGAATAGAGAGTGGCATAGGTCTTTATAAAAGTCTACCCCAGAGGCCAATGAACCTTTTCAATCAAGGAAGGGCAGAGAAGATGTAGTTTTGAGCCTCACGGTTTACCGCGGCAACTACTATTAATACAGAAGCAGCCACAGCTAACATCTGAAGTGATGAGTGCAGTTATGTCATAACCAAACTTTATAAAAACATGTGGTACAGCAGATGAGGCCACTCTCATAGTTTGCAAGGTGTCTTGGGAACAACATGCCACATAGAAGGAGAGGCCCCTTGCAGGTCCCTGTCAACCTTATAAACACTAAATAATTCTTTACCCTAGAGGACAGGAGGTTGGGAAAATTATACAAACTAATGGCCCTCCGAGGTGTCATGAGTTAGGCTCATGAAGAAATGGCCATTCCTTTAAAGGGCTGATGGTATCTGGCAGCTGGGCCTTGTGTGCTGTTTCCTGCCTAGAGCACCAGGCAAGCACACCTCAGAGAAGTGATCATATGGTGAACTTAGATAGACACGACCTCACACCATGTCCCCCAGGACTCTGGGCTCAGGTACCAAGTATACACAGAATGGATTTGTGTATTATAAGGCAAGTACAGATGGAACAGAAGGGACCGGGACCCAAAAGACACATGGGGTATCGGGAGAGACACTTTCAAGGTAATAGGTAAGTTCCCATGACTGGGGACCTAGAGGGGATGCATGATACAGCATGCATCTTCTGGCAAGCTGGTCCATGCTAAACCATGTCCTCCTCTCCTTCATTTGTATAGTAAAATCCTACCCTGCCCCAGGGCCCCAGAACGGTAACCTTAGTGGGAAGTGGGGTCACTGCAGATGCAACTAATCAAGATGAGGTTACAGCAGAGGACAGGTAAAGGTCATTGCTGGTAAACCTGGTGACCTGCGTTTCATCCCTGGAACCCACATGGTAGAAGCCAGAGAACTGACTCCTGCAAGTTATCCTCTGACCTCTGCACCAGCACCCTTGCACATGCGCACATGCACACACCAAGTAAATATAAAGCATTAAAAAGTTTATTTTTTAAATGTAGACAGCTACACACAGAAAACTCTATGAGAGAAGGGAAGCAGAGGTCTTGGTAAAGCTTCTGCACCCCAAGAGACACCAGATATTGTCATCAAATCACCAGAAGCTAGGAGAGAGGACCAACCATGCTGACCCCTTGATCTTAGACTTCTAGCTCTGTAAACTCTGAGGGAAAAAAAAACCTGTTGTTTAAGATCTGTGTGAGTGTGTTGTGGCACCCCTAGCAGGCTCTCATAGAGGCATCACCAGCACTGGTGGACATAAGAGACCTGAACCCCGAAAGCAGCAGCCCATTGCATCTCATGCAGGCTTGAGCTGCCTCTCTCCAGATCATCGCTCATGCTGTATTTTCTCCCAGAGCAAATGGCCTTCCTGCCTCCAGTCTAGCTCCCTGCCTCCTGCCCTCTTATTCTCTATCTGGTACTCCGGCCATTTCCATCTTACCTTCCTTTTCACGTGGAATTCTCATCCTCTTGTTTGGGTCTCTGCTGTGCTGTGTAATGCTAATCAGGTTTGAGGAATGGTGAGCTGAGTCCCTTCCTCCCCTTCTCTAAGAGTCCCCAGTAGGACCTGGGGTGGACTTCAATAAACAGCAGATGGAATTGAGCTAAGTGCCTGGGTGGTTACCTTAAAATGACAGGGAGGAAGGAGAGGAGGAGGAGGGGAAATGAGAGGTGGAGAGTGAGAAAGATGTCAGAGTGGAAAACATCAGGAATCTCCCTACGTCCGTGACGCAGGAATCTGTCTCTACCTAGACAGCTAAAACTGTCATCAGTAACTATTTTGAAATGTGGGAGTGTATGTCAAAGCTTGTAGATTCCTGGCTGGTAAACTGTAGTTCACTTTGGTCCACTTCATCCTTTAGTATGGTGGAAGCTAATATTCATCTTCCATTCCAAGCACTAGGAAAGATAATCAAGACCCTGATGGAGCCGGGTGTAAGAAAAGCCTTCTTGGCTAACTATCTAGCCTCAGGTTCCACGTGCTGACTACTGAGTTATAGACACAACCTGACATTGCTGAAGACCCCGACAGGTGACGACATGGCTTCAAAGGATTTTCAAAGATCGACTTCCCTGCTCCTCACCACCATTTGTCCCTCCTAAATGCCAGTCAACTTCCAGGACAGTCAGGGCTACATACCCTGTCGATAGATAGATAGATAGATAGATAGATAGATAGATAGATAGATAGATAGATGGATAGATAGATAGATAGATAGATGGATAGATAAATAAATGCAAGTCAGACATTATTGTATTAAGTCATTCAAAGGCAACTGAATCTCCAGGAGTTAGAAAGCTATGAGGCACGGCCAGGACAAGATACAGGGTCAGAAAAGACCTGCGAAGCCTTAAACTCTTACTTCAGCTCAAGACCTGGCATGGGGTTATCATTCAGCCATAAGCAAAACAAAGGCATCAGAGAGAGGAACCCTGAAGCTGCCATAGACTCAGATGTCCAGTTTCCAGCAAAAATGTTACACAGCACGAAAGAAAAAGGTATCTCATTCAAAGGAACCCAACAGATCGGCAGACCCATCTGTGACAAAGACAATAGAGAACTGCTTTAAAACAACTGTCGTAAAGATGCCTAAGGGTGGGAGGAAAACACAGAGACAGGCGTATCTGTGTCAAGAGACAGAATTAGTAAAAAGAAACAAAGATAATATCAAAAGCTGAAAAACACAAAAATCAAATGAGTTCAAAGCAGATTTTAGTAGATAGAAGAACGAACCTACAAACCGGAAAAGACTTTTTTGTGTTCTGTGATCGAACGCCCCGACCAAGAGCAAGTTGGGGAGGAAAGAGTTTTTATATCTTACAGGGCACACTCCATCACTGAGGGAAGTCAGTGCAGGATCTCAAGGCAGGAACCTTGAGGTGGGAACTAAGGTAGAGACAACGTAGGAAGGCTGCTCACCAGCCTACTCAGCTGGCTTTCTTACACAACCAAGGACCACCTACCTGCCCAGGGATGGCATCACCTACAGCAAGCTGGGCCTTCCCAAATCATCCATTAATCAAGAAAGTGCCCCACAGACATGCCCAAAGGTCATTATGATGGAGGCAGTTCCTCAGTTGAAGGTTCCTCTTCCAGGTGACTCTAGCTTGTGTCAAGTTGACAAAAAAACTAACCAGCACAATGAGAAAATTGACATGATTAAGTGTAAGAAGCACAGTGAAAAAAGACTGAACAAAAGGGAACAGAAACTACCCATTGAATAGCACCAAGTGTACACCTTATAGAAGTTTCAGAAAGAGAAGAGAAAGGGGTAAGGACACAAACTGAACAAAGGATGGATGAAAACTTTAGGAATTTGAAGGAAGATAAAAAGCTATGAGTAGCCCAGCAAACACCAAGTGGGACAAACAGAGAGGGACCCACACTGGGATGCAGTATAACTAAACTACCAAAAGACAAAGAGAGTCTTGGGAGCACCAAGACATTAAGACAGGCCACATACAAGGCATCTTAAGAAGACTGTCACCAGATTTCCCAGAGGAAGTCTTGGTAGACAAAACAGCAAGCTGATATAGTTCACATGCTCAGAAAACTAAACGATCAGTCAAGAACTCTGCATCTGAAAAATAATCCTTCAAAGATAAGGGGAAAAATAAAAAGGTTTCCAGATTAAGAAATCATAAACCTTGTTACCACTAGACTCGCATCAGAAGACAATAAATAACCCTACGGGTGCAGGAGTGGTACATGCACCTTGGTGGTAACCAACCACTCTCTGATTGAATTTCAGGCCCATTCAACAGGAGGGAAATCATGTCTGGTACTAGAAACCTTCCCAACTACCCAGGGCTGGTGAAGTCATACATCTTGGAAGAGAACCTACAACATTCATTTTATTAAACTGGCATAAGCTGTAACTACATTCTGAATATTTTTTTCTTAACCCACAGATGAGTGTAGTCCTCACCCTTCATCTAGGAAACTTCTCTTT